TTTCTGTAGTCCAACCTACAAACGTTTGTAGTAAACGAGCATGACGGTACGAAGGCCTAAAATCGGGTTCTGCAGCATGTTGTGACGCATGTGGCACTGCAGGTCACATTTATTACGTGAAATCTGAATCCACACTGAGCTTAATCTCTGATTTTGTACCTAATCAACGGAGTATGAGTGCTAAGCTCCGGTTTCATTATTAATGTGGCTTCAAGGACGAGAAAGCAGCACGATTCGCGAGCAATCGAGCACCCATTCTGTCTTTCGATTGCGTTGAACTGCTTGTGCCATCAGATGCCACTTCAGTTTTTTCTTGAATAATTGTGGCGATTGGGAAAGTTGTGAGCGCCAAACAAGACGTTAACAAGAACGAGAGTGACAGGACAGATGCTTGTGAACGTCATGTGGAAGCATTAGTTTGCGCTCAAAATTTCCCGATAGCAATGCGCCATCTGGCTGAATTTCAAGTTTTGTTAAAATGTAGCAATGGCACAGACCATGGGTTTTTGTCATGTCATTTGCCACCAGTTAAACAGCGGCGGCGTATTTTAAGGTACCACGAAAATTGTCGCGGTCATATTTCAAGAAGGAAGGAGGCAGAAACGCACCGTTCATGTCGTACGTGATCCTTTATCACTCGCGGAAAAAAATTTATTGGTCGAAGAATTCTGTTACCTGGTCGAAGAATTCTGTTACCTCTCGGCAATCAGAGAGGTTTTTAATTCTCGAGTCTCTTTATGAGATATTGCTGCCATCTTTTTCCAACAGGCTTGCAATTCTGTTGTACTGACACAACATAGCAATGACCGTGTTTTTGTAGATTTTTTTTCGTTCCCATTTAGACACTTTTCCATTCATAGACATCTTTGAAGCGAGTAAGAAATTCCCGTCGCCCCTCGCAAGTCGTTGCATTCGTCCAGTCCACACAGCAAAAGGCTTGATGGCAAAGTTGTTTCCACGCTCAGGTTTCTCGTACCGAAGCTTTCACGCTCTTTGTGCACTTCAAGGAATGCAGAAAGACTACAAAACAACGCAACGAGCTCTACACTGTGCCATCGTGACTGGTATGGGGCAAACTTGTTGCGAGTGGTCTCGCAGTGTTCTGCCATTGCGCTTCCTTCACTGTTCCGTGAGCTCAAGTTTGGTCGACACGCGGCGTCGTTGCGGCGCCATTGGTGTCGTGTTTCCCGTGTCTTTTCTTATACACAGTGTTCTGCGAATAAATGCCTCTGTGTAGCCGCTGGTGCCAAGGTGACGCGTTACGTTTTTCCTTCTTTCCTTCCGCAGCTGTGGTGACAATTGGAGGTTAGATTATCGGTTATTTCTTTATTTATTTTAGTTTTCTCGTTCAGCTAGTTTTCTGTATTCTTGCCCAAGAAAGGTGATTCAGAACATTTTTTTCTCGTGGGAATGATTATAGGTATGTGCGTATGTGGTTGCAGCTCCACATTTCCAAGTCGTAGGACTCGGACTGCCCTGCCGACGGCCCCTATTCTCTTTCTGCTCTAGCAACCATGGCCGTCACGTTCTTCCAAACCTTCTCCTCCTACCTACTTCTAAACTATTTTCTCCACTCTCCCCTTTCCCTTCAACGGACTGAGCCGTGGTCTCGCAAGGAAAGGTAGTGTCTTTTTCTTTTTCTTCAACCACACATTCATCCATTCAGGGGAAGCTTGCATGCAGTAAATGGTTTGGAAAGCAGGTAAGGTTCGCGGATAGTCACCTCATCTACCCTGATTTGTTCCGGGTCAACGCTCTCGAGGTGCGCCAAAAAAGGCGACAACACGAAAGTCATACTTCGAATTCTTTAGGGCTGTGGGCTCCCCTCGTCAAAAACTCTTTGGACACGCCTGACTGACTGACGGCCTAGGAAGAGCTGTCGGAAATAGAGGCAGCTTGATTTGTTCGACGTGCCACGAGACGCGCTGAATAATTAGCCGAGAGGTTGGGATCCATCGTCAGGTATGTTTCCCACACTCTGTGGTGCTCTCAAGTCTTCCACTCCCCCAGGCCCTAGCGCTGCAGACCCTATTCTGCACGTGCGATGCAACGTTATTGCACTGTGCTGTGTTGTGCGTATTATTGCATTATGACCTACGTTGTGTTTCTCTCTCGCCGTGTGACGAACTGAACACGCATCCTTTCTATTTCCTGGGTAGAAAAGAAGGCAATGTTTGACTTTCTCTCTCTTTCTCCTTCTCGTTTTTTTATCTTTATTCACTGCGCCGTGCTCCCTGCTGGGCTGCAGAAATTAGGCGCCTTCTAACCACTACCCCCACCATGTGGGGGACGGAGATGACGACGACAATTTCTTTGGACTGCCCTGGACTGGATGGACATGCAGTCTGTCCATTTACAGTGATCTGCAAGGCGGCTTTTCTGTAAGATTTATTTTCTAGCCAAAAACTATAGTTCACAGACTGCTTTTCTCCATCATTGTGTGTTTACCTCTTAAAATTCCAGCGAATGCAGGCGAGCACGCGAGTACAACAGAATGTCACCTCTCCAAATTCCAGCAAAGGCACGCGAGCACAACAAGATCTCAAAAAGGTGAATGGCAAAAAACAAAATGAGCGAGAAAAGCAGTCTGTGAACGAGAGTTTATGGTTGGAAAACTAACCTTACAGATAAGCTGCCTTGCAGATTATTGCAAGCTGTCTATTGTTTTCTCCTGCAGAGAATTTTAGGAAGACCACGGCTTAAAACGGGAGCACCGAGACGCTCTGAACCAGCTCTCAGAAGCTCTCATCAAGCTTCCATGATGCTACATTTAGTGTGTAAATAGTGAACATAAACGTTGCTCTTATCAGCCCCGGCTACTCTGCTTCACTTCTACCTGAGACTTGGCTAGCTCCTTCGAACACATCACGAGCAAGCAAAAGGGCACGGAGTTGTAAAGATGATAATGTGCAACATCACATCGCTTTTATTACGTGACATATTCGTTCTCCGCCGCATTCGCCCGATCGTGTCAACATACAACTTTCCAGTTTTATAGCGGCGACACACCGTTGATTGCGGTCACGTCATTGAATGTCAATTAAACAGCGGTTGCATTATTTATTTGCAAATTACTTCTTCATAAAGTATGGTGAAGTAAAGTATTATTTGGACACCTGAGGAGCTTTCTAACTTGACTTATTTTTTTATCAAGACTTGAATATAATGTTAAGTTTGTATTTGGTTGACTCTGAGCATTAACTTCGCAACAGAAGTACATCTGTCAGCGACAATCATTCTTAACCTCTCCCAGTGCCAGTAGGTCCGTTCAAGTTACGTGATGAAAACCAGTTTGCTGAACTATGTCATATATGACATGTCGCTGAATCCAGCCGTCTTTTGTAAATTGTCTACTGGCAAGTTTTTTTTTTAATTTTGTTTTGTTCTTTTTAAAACTGGTGGTCTCAGACAAGCTTATTAAGCCTCTTCTCACCACTGGATAGCCGTTGTTACGCGCGGCGCCTGGGCCGACGGGGGAGGGCCGCGTTCTTTGTTCATCAAACAAGTCACCGAAGGGCTGCCAGCCTGCTGTCCGCCGTGTACTGTCCATCTTAGCCGGGAAGTGGGGTGGCATTCCGACACCATAAGACGTTCGATGAGACGACCACAATGGTTTCTTGGTGTCACAGGTGCAGTGTGGTGGCCACGCCCCAATCAAAGACCTTCACTTGAGCGAGTGTGAGCGGCACCGTCAGAAATGGTGTGTGTGTCTCGTGATTCAACAGCGCATTCTGGACCCATTCCCTGATTTAGTCAAAACGTACACTTTATAGTGAGCCACCCAGCTCATTCGCAAGAGACCTCTCGCCCTGTCTGTACAGAATGTAATAAATCCTCAGTTAAGTTTGCCATCTTACTCCTGAGTGCACATGCGTTTTTTTTTCTGTCTCTCTACACGCCCTTTCTTGCCCCTATTTCTCAAACCTCAGTGCTAGGCAGCAAACCGGATACCAAGATATGGTTAATATCTCAGCCTTCCTTTCTCTTTCTTGCCATCTTACTGCCTTGGCATCTTCATCCCGGGTATCCAATGTCTTAAAAGGCTGGTACAAACAGATAAGTTAAAGAATAAAACAGATAGTGAACATTTTCTGCAGCATGTTCAGACACTGCAAGTGGTCATCCTCGAAAATTATCAACTTTAACACCACGGACAGGTGCTGATATACCCTGAGTAGGTTCGAGCATGTTTTATGCCTCGACGCTTTTAATCTTCATTAAACTTCTCCCTTTCGATTTCATCCATCGGGGTTTTGTGTAGTTCTTCATCTAACGCCTAACCTCCCTGTCCTTCCTCATTTATTCCTCCTCCTCCCTTCATATAACGCGCTGCATTCGTGCTGCACTGCTACCACTTCATTTCTTCTTTACATACGCCCTGTTTCGGGCACAATTATAGGCTGCCATCTTGGACTGATAATGATGCCGTTTTCCATCCGTATGAATATTCGAATTGCGCTATGGCGAACTCGCACGCATCAAAACGCTGGGCCATTACATTCAACGTCGTCTCACCATAATCATGGCTAATTACGACACAAAAAACAGCAAAAATTACTTTTAAGCCCAAGATGGCAGTGTCTATGCTTTACTGTAACTGTTACATTTATTTTTTGTCAATTTGTCTAATATGTTATTTCATGCAGCGGCCGCCGAACTCGTTCCGCTGTTCATAGTGGTACTCTCGGTCTCTAAAGCTGGATGAAGATAACTAAGAAGCCTGGTTTTACTGGCTACATAAAATGTGAAACGAAGCTATAAATCAAGATGAAAAAGAAGACAAATCTGTGAAAAGTCAGTACTGGCGCATAAATGGCGCACCGATTGCGCCGATGAAAAACGTCGGCGGCGGCGGCGGCGGCGGCGCGCCGATCAGTTCGCGTCGGCGGCGGCGGCGTGGCAAAAACTATCAGCGGCGGCGCGCCGACCAGTCGACGCACACCTCTAGCCGTGGTTGATTTTTTTGCCCCCTACAGGTGAGCACTTGAACTTGAGAGCTGGAGTGGCTGGAGTCGCAGTTGGAATTAGGCTGGAAGCGTTTGGTCACGTAATCGAGGGGTTCCACGTAGAAACAGCGACAAAGTTTTGCAAACAAACGCATATATTATCAGGAATAAAAATTACGCGATTTTTTTAAGGATCCGCGTTTGAAGGCAAATATGTTTCACCTCCCGGTAGTTCTCTTGAGCCGATGTAACCTGGAAGTGGCCTCATGAGTTTCACGAGTAAGTTGCTCGGCTGGAGTTGCGGGCTTGTAAACTAATGGACCCACAGGCTCAACTTCGACAGCGACGTTATGTGTGCCCTCGCTCGTGCACGTGAACCATTGTTTTCGTTGATCGAAGCTGTCGAGCCGGTTTTGACACCTGCCGACGTGTTGTCCGTACAAGTTTTCGCAAGTGTGCCTGTTTGTTTATTTAGATCACTGATGTTAAACATGTTGCTTCTTGCTGTCCGTAACGGCAAACGTAGCTGCCATGCAGCTAAGCTAAATTTACATCAGTGAAATCTAGCTCGACCACACCTCGGTGCAGGTGCACTTGATTTCTCTTTATTTTTCTTTGAGCAGGTTGCGACGTCATGTGCTATTGAATGAAAAGGAAGCGTTGCTGGGTCAACAGTGTCTTACATTTGGATCTCTTACCGCGTTTTCAAAGCCATGAGTCATGTGGATCTAAAAGTGGTTCTCCTAGGAAAAGAGTACGGTGGCAAGACAAGCCTCGTCGAGCGCTACCTCTACGACCGTTTCGATGCGTCTACTCCTTATCAAAATGTGAGTGAGTAGATTTTTGTGCCGCACACAGGCAGCGTGCCTGCCTATTACAGTTACTGAATACATGTCATCGATTTTGCAGACAATAGGCGCTGCTTATGGTGCAAAGCAGATCGCCGTGCGAAATCGCAAAATCACCCTTGGAATTTGGGTAAGTGCTACACCGGCTGGCTTGTGTCGTGACGAAGACTAAATGGTCGTGCGACTTGTTTAACTGAACCAACTTCTTGTAAAAAGCAATTTCGCTACATTTTAGTGATCTTTATTTGGGATATACACATGACATTTTGTTATTTTACTGACTTTTTATGACATTATCTTTACAGCACTTACACCAGAACTGTAATATTATAAAACTTACAGAGAAATTATAGAGGCTAATCTTACAAAACTGTAAAATTAGTCTCCTCTCCGTTAATAGACAGAAAAGATTATATAAAGCAACTGCCTTTGTGTGTTAAGTTACCTGTTTCTTTTAGTGCTACAGGATTATGACAGCAAGTATCTAGGTTAATAGCTGGGGATTATTGTCAGCACGAATGAGACATAATACCTAACTGAGTGTGCTATCAAAAGCAGTATGAGCAGGAAGATGTAAGTGCCTGGTGAACAGCCTCAAACCCCAATTGTATCAATACTTGAATGGTGCTGTTAAAAATAAAGTAAAAATGGTTATGCATTTCTGCAAAGTGTTGTGAATCACGCGTTTGATTTTACACCATCTATGATGCAAGTAACGGCTGTAGCACCTGTTAGCGCTCATGGCCAGCGAGGAGCAGTACTGTTTTTTTTTTCTCTTTTTTTTGCTACATTAGATTTTATGCATAACTAATTGAACAAACTGGCAATTAATCCAAGGAAAGCATTGGAGACACTATTTGTTGCTTTTTAAATGTATTATATTTATGACCTAAGGAGAAAAAAACTAAAGTGGTCGAAAAAGCGCCTTTTTCCGTCAGTGGCATCCTAACCTACAACCTTCAAATTGTACATCCTATGCAAAAAGAGCTTTCCGCACTTCCTGGCTTGGATACAAGTGGCACTAGCTAACACTCCCAAGGATTTATACACACATAAATATATAGCAAAGTGGAACAGGTAGCATGCTCCATTGTAGCTCTGTCAGTATAACATCAGACGCATAGTAATTTGAAGGTCACTCATAGAAAAGATGCATTTTCATCTGCTTTAATATCTCTATAAAGTCAATGTAAGTCACTGAAATTTGTTTGTAGGTATAAAAGAGTAATTAATTATTTGCACATTATAATGATAGTTCCATGGTTTTGGCACATGAAATAAATTCAAGCCTTGTGCAGTTTCTTGATTCTGGACTGTTATTTCTCCTGTTGTCATACCAATGTGAAATTGTCAATGCCAACTGGATGTGTCATTCATATTTTCTTGATAGGGGCACACTATCATTGCTTGCTTCTGTAAGCAATATTTTGATAGCTGGTAGAAGATGTGTTCTGTATTGTGTGGCTAATTGCTCCTTTCTAAGGAGGGAGTACTATGATGACTTCTTCTTATTTTAAAGGATACGGCTGGCAGTGAGAGGTATGAGGCTATGAGCCGAATCTACTATCGAGGAGCTGGTGCTGCTATTGTGTGCTTTGACCTCACTGACCGTGAAAGCTACCAGAAGGCCAAGTTCTGGGTGGAGGAACTGCGCAAGCATGAAGAGGTGAACTCTGCTGTTGTGCTGTTGAGTTTTTTTCTGGCTTTATTAATTTAAGATGCATAGGAGAATAGTTGTGCATAATATCCTTTCTGGTGATCGAACATCCTCTCTCCTTCTGAGCAGCAACGTTGGACACCTTGGCTGGGGACAGGAAATTGAGGGATGGATTTGAAAACGACTTTGATTAATTTGAAGTGTTTCATTAGTTTCCATCTTTTAAGAACATTACAGTGGTACATGTACAGCTTCACATCAAAGTGGACTGTATGCTTTTAGTTTGCTGCTGTTGGGGAAAAATTTCACTTAGCGGAGCTTTATTGCTTCTTCTGTAGCTGTTCACAACGAGAGAAGTGAGGGTACTGTAAAGATTTTACTGTGAGCTGACCATTTATCTTTATGCTCTCACATGCGCCGTCTAGGTCCTCCTGCTCTTTAGAATAAACATGTGGAAAGTTTATCGCCTGTGTTGTACTTTCCTCTGTCCTTGCGCATTTGCTTTAGCCAATGCACAAGTGTATTAAACTTGCCTAATTTGCTTCAACAGAAGCCATCCTACTCTCTTTTGGCTGTGTTCTTCAGTTTATTTGCTGTACACAACACATTAATGCAGTTTTATGGGACACTGTAGTTATAGAAGTGCTAAGTTGGCCACATAGCATAGCTACCAGCTCTGAGGGTAGCTTTGTCTCTTCTATTGTGGCCTCTAGTGAGCAGATAATATTCATCGAAATCCTCTTATTGAGCATTGATCTGCTCCGAGCTTTCTAAAAACTGTGTAAATAAACCCACGCTAAATATGAAGGCCACTATTAGTGACCATGTTTCAGTATAGACTTTTGTCACATTATCAAGCTTTGAGTTTGCGGTAACTCCAATTCACTCAAGCCAGGCATCGCACAAGGTAGCAGGAGTTGCGTCTTAATGCGATAGCGTTACAGCTCGTTTCTCCGAAGTGTCGGTGTGAGCGTTGTTGCTTGTGTGCGAAAGATCATGATCTTGTCTGTGATAGAAAAATCTGGAAAGCTGCAAATAAAATAAATAATAAAAAATTCTGGCTTTGAGTGAGGATCGAACCCAGGCCATTTGCGTGGCAAGCAGAGGTTCTACCTCATAACCACACGTCTGCCTAGAAATAGCGAAAATAACTTCTGCTTGGAAATGCAGTAAAAATAATGTTCATGCTTTACGGACTCATGCATCCTGCGTGCAAGCTTTGCAGTACAACATGTAATATCAGAGTAATATTGCACGGTACAGGCTTACATCGCCATCAAGCCTCGGAACATGTGATTTTCATGAAGACTTCGTGGTTTAAAGCCGGCCACCCATTACAAAAGACACACGCGTTACTGCACGTATTCCTTTAAGACCATGTAGTGGGTGCATAAATAGTTTGAAAATATTTCACCTGCACAATTGCTAGTGGTTTTAAGCATGCTATTTGTTACATCGAATGCAGTCATATATGAAAGCTTCACCGATACAAGCCTTTTTCAACTTTATTGATTACATTGTAGTAATCCACAATTCAAAATTCTCAAGTAACATCATATGTACTATAAAAGTGTGCACTAAGTGGTTGATAAAAAAGATCTGTAAGTGGTTGAAGTATGTACAAAGAACAAAATATCACTATCTTGTTTAACTATTAAAGGCGAAGCTCAAGGGCCCCCCAATTTTTCGTTTTTTTAGTCTGTGTTTTTGCAGCCAAGTACTGCATGTATATACTATGTAGTCACATTGCCTAATTTAGTTCACGCTGCAAATCAGGCCACTAGGCACAACTGTGTCGAAATGCTAGTGATTTAGCTTTTATGCTATGTGGCATAGTTACTGATTTTCAAGTGCACATATGCGAGCAATACGATGAGAAAGACCAGTGGCAAGGAAGCGAGTGCGCCTGTTTGTAAACCAGAAGCTGCTGGTTGTTATCTCAGAAGCTGCTGGTTGTTATCTAATCACAAAGTCTGTTTTTGATGGCATCTCAGATACAAATTTCCAATGTTGTGCATGGCATTGGGGATGCCAGAAAGGCCTGAAGAGGAAAACGGAATTTTTTTTTCCAGTTTTTAGTGCTACGACAAAATGGGAAAACTCAATGCTCTACTGTGGTGCTCTTTGCAGCGTAACTGTAAATTGTTTCTTTTTAATGTCTCGCAGCAAACCAGTGGACTCGTGGCAAGCAAGGGAAATTAGCATTGTCTCGATTTTTTGCCGAAAGTTGCATACATGCTAAATTTTGCACATATAACTACAGTCAGCAGCTAGCAGGGTATTTTGGGGCAGCAGGACCCTCGGCTGGCATCTTGCGAGAAGGTTAGGCACCTAACTATCATGAGGCTAAACGATTCTCCCAGAGTGATTGCGTGAGCACAGAAAGCACTAGGAAGCACAAGTTTTGGTGGCTAATGGTAAAGCACAAATTTTTACTCATTTTTTAAAGCTAATTAGATTATTACCTTTGTCTCCTCATAATCTTCAGCCTAAATTTTACACTCTACTAAATAAGAACATTGTTCATTTATTGCAATTTAGATCTGTCATTGCTAAACAGGGCAATGTCATTGTAAAAAAAAAACATGGCTGATCTCTCTCTTTTTTTTAGAGATTGGTATAACACGAAAGTGAAACGTGTCCTCACAGAGGTAGTAGAGTATTTATTTTGCATTGTTTCACCACAACGGCAAAGGAATGAATGCTGCAGCAACAAATTGCAATTTCGTGCAAGGAATGGCAAGCAGCTCGAAAATGACAGCGCTCACCTAGTGCAGAAAGCACACAAGAAATGAGCGTACACAGCACGAGCGTGGACGAACAACTGTCTCAGTTGTTCGTTCAAGCCCGCTGCTCAAACAGAAAGAAAGAGACGCACGAAACCAATGCACTAGTTTACAGAGGATGAGCGTGAACAACTGTTACTTCATCGTATGTGAGAAGCGTGCCCCTTTCATAAACGCGGCAGCGAGCGAAGTGACCTTCGTACTCTCCTGAATCACGAGTCTGATCTGATAAGCGCGTGCGCAGCCCAAGAGACCATGCGCTGTGGAGACGCGCGCTTAGAGAGACGTGAGAGGTGTCCAATGCTAGGCCGTTGCGCCATCTCGTTACTGATGGCGAAAACGTGGTGAAGTTGAGAAGCTCTGACAACCACTAGTGGTATATATAGTGTATATAAATGGCTTGCCGTTAGCAAGCTTGACAACGTGCGCTCCGTGGCATAGTGGTATGTGTTGCGAACTACAAAGTGAAAGGTCGCTACTTCGGCAGCCTGCTGTGGAAATTTTTCGTGTTTTTGTTCTTTGTAATCTCTAAATTTGTATTTTACTACGTCATATCATTGGCGGAAATAGATCAGTGGAGCCGTGGTGGACCACGGCATAAAACACTTTCGTGTTAAAATAAAACAGCACGGAACAAGAAGAACGAAAAAGATTGTGTCTGGAGAGTGTCACTGCAAACCATGGGTATTGATATATTTACCATTGATTTTGACTCCGGCTCCTTTCTGCTCTCTCCTTACCTGACCCATTTATACATAATTTTTTTTTCGACTCATGTTTTGTAGATTTTTTATGTCACAATATGTAATGATCGTAGTCGTGAAACGTTGAAAGCGATTTCGTGCAGGTGAGTTCGTTGTAGCACTGTTTGTCTATTTGATACGAATACTAAACTTCAATTTTATCAGTCCAAGATGGCAGTGCTTGAGTGCGTTTAGAAAATGGTATTCTTCCGCTTTTGGAAAATTGAGGTAGCTGAGTAATATTCACAACTATTCGCTTAGATGCTTCCTTGTACTACTTCTCTATGAAATGCTTCCATGACTGCAGTTATCTCTACAGAAAGAAACACCTATTTGTTATCCTTGAAAGTAATGTATAGAAGTTAGTTGTTCTCTAAAGATTTATCAGTTGGCTTTTTGGATGTGGATGGAATGCATTGTCCTGAAGCCTCCATTCTTTCACTTGACTAGAGTGAAGTGTTCAATGGGAAATCACTTTTATGAATGACTTATACAACATCAAAGGTCACCTAATGGGAGTCTAATATTTAAATTATTTACAATTTTCTTTCCTATACATTAGCAGAATTGAGGCATTATTTCAATGTTGACAAGCTTGAAGTACTGAGCTATTGTGCATAAATATTTGCAAGGCTTTCAAATAAAATACACTTTCTCCTTCTCTTATCATGTAGACTGTTATTCGATCAGTCAAGCCATTTTTTTCTGTGGACATCTTTCAAAAAGCCCTTCTAATATCAGAACAAGTTTCCCATTGATTCACCACTGTAAAAAGTTAAGCATGCTGAAGCAGATATTGTTGTGAAAGAAAAAGGCCACTGAGAGTGAGCAAGTCACTCAACAAAGGTTTATTGTTTAATTGCCTACCATACTTAAGCTAGGCCAAGAATCCGTCGGAGCATGATCGTTGTCATTATCTAGAAAAGAATTGTCATTTCTTGATGTCTGTACATTTGCACATGCCTGAGCGTCAACAATTTTTATGTATACATTTTTTTATCCAGCTTCCATTAAACCATTGTTAAAAGTTAGCGCTTGTGTGTACTCTCTGTCCTGTACCCATCATTTCAGTTATGTGCTTCAGTGTATGAAAAAGCCACTCAATTTAGCTAAAATTGTCATCCTTAACATTATCATGGTACAGAAGTGTATCCAAGTGTAGTAATTAAAGCGTCATATATTTTTTTTCAGAAGTGCCAAATCTTCCTTTGTGGCACTAAGAATGATTTAATCAAAGAAGAAGGCAAATTCAGGGCAATCAGTTATCACGATGTGCAGGATTATGCTGATGACATTGGGGCCAAAATGTTTGAAACTTCTAGCAAGACAGGAGAAGGCATTGGTAAGTGTTAATTCTTTATTGCAAGTTTATTTCACTCTTGAACCTTAGTTTCTTATTGTTATTATTATGACTACATATTCTATTTTAAGGTTCTTTGTAGTACTGGTGTATGATATTGGCAGTCCATTTCTTTTTCTTTTTTCCTTCGTTCTTATAAGGGAGCCTTGCAAATAAAAAAGTTACTGGCGTGGAAGAAGAGCCCCAGTGGTTCCGGTCAGGTTGACTTGAGGAGGGCATGCATAGTTCACCTACAGCCCCTCATGCCCACATGCTGACCTACTTGCTCCACTCCAATAGTACACTTATCGCAATGCCCTTCTGCCTGACAAAAAAAAAGACGTGCTCCTTGATTGCACTGTGTACGGTCTTCATGAAGTGTGGGATGCTATTGTACTGGGCTTTATGCAGAACATCAAGGAATTGGCAAATTTGTGTTTGGTGTGTCTATATATTGTGGAAGTCTGAAATGCTTCTGCAGTCTCGATCCAAGCCATTGCAGCCATGCCCGCCACAGCCAGCAGCGCGCGGCAACATCTAGCAGAACCCTGGTCATGGCACGCATGCTACACACAGGAGTGCAACAGCTGCGCCAATTGTGCCGATTTGATACACTTCCCCATTTTAGCGCCGAGCTGTGCGAAAGCCATAAAATTGGCTGAAATTGCTGTCGTGCCCTAAACGCAATCCCATCATGAAAGAAAAAAGGGGAGGTGGGGAGGGGGTGTGGCAGTTCGAAAATTTCTTCGCCTTGTACTAACTTGTGCAGAACGTACTTAAGTCACTTTCGCCGCTGTAATGCGGTGGCCTGCGGAAAGGCGTTTTAATATTTGAAGGGGCTGTTAGCACTAGTCACGAGATACAGCACACTTTGTTCACACTCATGCATGTATAAGCCGCATAATTGTGAGTACTAATATGATTGCTGACGTCAGAAAAAGTTACTAGTAAATCATTTGGAGCACTGTAGGACATTTACGTAGCCCTAAAAAAAATCTAACAAAACTGTGTGTCATTTTTTTTCCGCCACCCCTACTCCTCAGTTTGACTGATCTCCCGAATTTTGAGGTCGCCAGTTTGGTAGATCTACATAAAAACCCTCAGAGTCAGTCAAAGGATTTTACAGGTGGGGCAAATGCTAATGCAGACTTTATCATTGTTTGCTGAGTGGGGTGGTTCAAAATACTACTTTTAGTAAAATAGCAGTGCTGATGTTCACTCTGCGTGATTTAGGGGATGTTAAATGATTTGTACATATTTTTCCAAACGTAAGCTTTCTTTTTCATTGCTCTAAATTTAGTCTTTAGTTATAAAATATTAATGGTTTTTTTCCCTCTAACCTGCTGCAAATTTGGATTTTAGTGCTCCAGAAGTAACATTTTGCTGCTCCAAAAATTGCTGCAAATTCTATTGCGGCTGTTGCACCCATGCATGCACCCACAAGTACTTTGTCTTCTCCTCAGTGTTTTCCGGCAGCCATCTGCGCTACCCTCGCCTCCGTATAGGCATTTGGCCCACGACAACCCTTTGCGCCCTCGCCTGCAGTGAAACCTTGGGAGCTATACACGAAACATGGATAAGACAAGATGTAGCAGATCCGGTGGTGCAGCTCAGGATTTGAGGTCTTGCAGGCATAGAGTTTTCTAAGATTAACTAGAGGGAATTCCAGTGCTGCGATCATTCTGCTACCAAGGGAATGTTGGGTAGTTCATGGCTTTACCTAGTCTTCGTGCTAGCAGGCTTTGAATGCACGTGCGGCTTTGTTTATTGCTGTGTTTTGGTTTTGTTTTGAATGAAAGAAAGGACTGTTGTGAACTTACTTAGTGACTTGACTTGAATCAGTGAGCTTAAAAAGTCCAAAGTGGTGAAGCGTAACTGTTAAACCTTTGCTGAACTTCTTGTGGTGAAATAGATTCAGGCCGAATGAAGCCAAAGAAATGAAGATGAGACGAATCCATCTACTACCCATCATTTCCATGCTGGGCTCCCATAAACACTAACGGCAGCGATCCCGCTAGTGTAGTGTAACAATGTGTGCTTGCAGGCACCTGTGGGCCCCAAACTATTGATTTTCTTCTGGGATCTTGCAGGTCCTAAACCATTCCCGAGTTTAGATGCCGACTTGGTCGCCCTTCCCGATGTTGCTCAGGAAAGTGTACCCAGCAGCTTGTCATTGGGTGCTGCCACCTACTGTCACAGGCATTTTTTTTTTCTGCATTCTCCTAGCCCACTTCTGTTAATGCCTCCATTCTCATTCTTCTTGCCATTTGTCTTGTCTTTTTTCTTTTTCTCTTTGTCTTCCATCTTGTCATCTTGCTTTGGATCATGTTTCGTTACTGCAGCGTTCATGGTACTGATGCTGGCATCCTGAGCATCCCATTGTTGTCGTTGTTGCGTTCGGCAGCTATGTCAGCTGCTAGAGGTGCATGCCTTGTCTAGCACCTTATATCAGCCTTGGATGTGTCTCTCGAGTCACGTGGAGCATGCATTCTAAGTTATGGTCCCGCAAAAGCTGTACCCCTGAAGAATTTTCACTCGCTTTAAAGGGAACTCTAAACGTTCCTGGCAGCACTCGCCAGCTCTCATGACTCTTGGAGTATTCAGCCTGGCCAGTGTTTTCCCGCAAGCATTGGAACAACCGGCATGACGTTGCCTCTCCTGTAAATGCTGTTCTGGGACGTTAAACCCCACAAATCAATGTAAATGCTGTTCTTCCCGAAACGCTCCTTTGGCTCCATGATGTAGGCACCGGCGTAAGAGGGGCCCACGTTCCTGCATTCTTAGCCCAAGTTACTTGAGGATATCCAGGCCTGCCACAGCGTATGCAGCATGCATCATGTGCACAATTTTTCTCTTTTCACCTGAGAATCTCTGTGGCTGCAATCCTCACAATATCTGTAAAAGTACTGCATTGCACTTGAATGCAGGGCATGTGCTGGAATTAATTGGCTACACAAATAATCTATTGAATCATTAGTGGCATTTCACAAAATTTTGACGATTTAAGGGGAGATGCGGGATGAAAAATGCGTGTTTTTTTCAAAATTACCGATTTTTTATTTTCACCTGTTTTGATAAGATTAGTAGCTCTACTGTTATGAAAAAAATAATACAGGTTGAGACCTAACTGGAAATGCTTAAAAATTGCATGTAAAGAGCACAAGGTGCCTATTAAAGGTCAAAAGTGTGCAGTCTTCGAGCACCTTGCTGCCGATAATGCGCCGCCGCTCGCCATTGTTGATCGCATGAGTCGAAGATTCGAGCCTCACTCTTCAAATACCAACAGTTTCTCTCGCTGATGCAGAGCAAGAAATAATAAAAAGAAGCACTCTTCTGCGTGTTTTTTTAGCGCCACGACTGGCTTATTACATGGTATGAATCGGGGACCGCCATTGGCCGCTGCGCGCCTGTATGTGCTGTGAAACCTATTTGCGGGGTCCATGTCTTGTTGGGCAGCGCAGCTGAACAATGCTTTTCTCGTGTAATTATCTCCATTATGAATGAAAAAAATCATCGCTTTCAAGTGAAAGCTGTTGTGCGGTGCGCTCTGTAGGAATAGGCTACGAGCAGCTGGTCCGATTTGTGGCAGTTGTTGGCTTGCAAAAGCCAATGCATCAAAAGTCATTCACACCCGTCAGCCGGAAAGTTCTTGATGTGGCAATGGATGGTGTCAGTGCCAATCTTGAGAGGTCGAAAGAGCTCGCAGTGAGAGAACTTAGCAGGGACGACATTGCCATTATGTACGACGGTATGTGGCACAAGCATGGCTGCAAAATGGCATGACACTGGACTTAGTTTGGATTTCGCAGTCCTGTCAAACTTCTTCCTAGCTTGCAGTTGGCACAAGGCTCTGCCAGATGGAGCAGAAGTTTGGCAAGCATTTCATGGCCCTGTCTGTGAGCGAAATGTCTGTGAAGAGTTGGCTCGAAAAAGCCGAGAGGGACAAACTCATGGTGCTGGCGTATTTTAGTCGCAGTGGCCACTACAAGAAGGATTGTTCTTTTTGGTGTGCAAATTTCATCTAATTTAATATCTTTCAAGAATAAAAACTCAATTTTAACTTTAAAACTCGTTTTTCTCAAAACACAAATTTTGCCAGTTTTTCCAGTGTGCCCCTTCTTTTTCAGGCACTTCTAGTGCTCGGATCTGCATGTAATTTCGCCCAAATTTTTTTCAAAGTATGGCGAATGCAATTATCTAGTTTAAATTTTTATATTTGATTGTATAATAAAAAAAATTGTATGTATACCTTTACTAGGGTAGGTGAAATATGGACTTTTTACGTATTTTATTTTTCACACATATTACATATTTTGTGTGTGCTTTCTAATTAGTTATTTGCACTCTACACTTTATTTGAAGCATTATGAGCTATGAATTATAAAAAATTACAGAAGTTTAGGGATGAAAAGAGGGGGGCAAAAGGGTTAAAGTTTTCACTTTGTGATGTTGCAGAGCCACAAGTGTGTAACTTGCAAGAAAACTAATTACATACTTGAAATCGGCATAAAAAGTTCCATAAACAGCTCAAGTTTCATTGCTCTAGGGTGAATATTAAAAAAAAAGTGCCTTCGAGTAGCATCTCCCCTTAAGGGGACAGGGTAAGCAAAAATATTGAAAAAATAAATTTTTCTTTTTGTGGTATTTGAAGCCTGCAGCCTTTTCTGAGTCAGAATCAGTAGTTCGTCTAAGTACAAATTTCTTTTCTCTAAAATTGACATATTTCAAAACTTGTGCAGCAGCCTGCCATGCCTCTATTTTTATGTAGCAAGGTATTCTGTGCAGTTCAAGCATCATAGCCATATGGAGATGCTATAATTTGCAAGCTGGAATGCATATCGCACATTCAGACAAGAATGGGTGCAAAAACAAAATTGACTATTCTTTTCAGAAGTGCACTGGTCTTTCAGTATGGTGATCTCAAAACTACATCTTCCGACTCACACTGCCCATTGGATACTGAGCAGTTTTTAATCATTATAAAACAAAGCAAATAAATTTTGATATTTTGGAAGGTAAACGTTCATTTCATATCGGACAGGGCCTGGGTGAATTCTACTCTGGATAGATTTGTTTCTACTGTGGGCTAAACACGTTATGTGTGCTTTTAGTTATCTTAAGAATATTGGCCTCTCTGTGGAACATTCCTTCATGCTGCAAAACCTCTAAAAGGTCACACATTGTGCAGCCCTCCTCTAAAACCTTAGTAGCCAGCTCTGACAGAATTTCAGTGATATTGTTCGATTAATTATTGGAAAACTGCAGAGCTGGTGGTCGCATAAGGTTTGTATTAACACCTTTTTGCAGTCACAGCATATCGTAGCATATCACCTCCAAAATTTTTATTGTTCTGTGGTCGCAACCAATTCTCAGTGGTCTTGCCTATGAGCTATGAGAATGCGCTACACTGCAAGTAACGGTCAGGTATAATGCCATTATGCAAGCTTGTGGGTCACAGCATAAATCGCATTGAGCTTTTGGTTACTGAGCAGCAATATATATCTCAAGCAGGAGTATTATCCGATTCCAGGGCTGTTGTAAACCTATGCTTGCCCAAAATAATATTATTTGACTTATGGTAACTTTGACAAATTGTGCAGGTGCAAATTAGGCCAATCAGGTACAATGTGGATAGGATGAAGTGGTGCACCAGGGCACCCTTGTGCACACCAATGCAATTTGTTGAACATGCAAATAGGTGCTTGTTATTATGCTACCACAAAATTGGATTGTTTAATTTACTAATTTACAGGTTTATGCTGAAGACGGATGACAAAAGACAGCTGTCATCACACCAACGATAGCTGCACTTAAATTTTCGACAAGAAGAGTACTTGTGTGGTATTCGTTTTCAGCTTAGTCATGCTGTTTTTTATTATGAGACACTGGTGTGATAAATAAACACAGATCGGTAAACCATGATTTTCTTGTAGTCAAGCTTAGCTGTGGTATTTAACTTACCTGTTGTGATTAACTAGCAGATTTGCCAGAGAAGAATTGCGTGGTTGAAACCATGTATATTTTTTGCTTTTCTTTTTCTCATTGAAAATGCTGGCCTTCACTAGGAATGATGGACTGCAGGTTAGTTGGCCCTGCATGAAGTAATGTGTTTTAACTGTTCTAGTATACTGACTTTTCTAAAGTGTGGTCTTGGGGTGTGTACTCTTTATTGTAAGGTTGTAAGGTGTAGAAGATAGTTACGAGACATAAGAAGTACCTTGTTTCGTAATTTTGTCTATATAGTGTGTATGATGTGGCCTTCATATCCCAAGTCAAATAAAAGAAAACTACACAGTAGCACTCAAATCACTTTATATGTGCTAAGTAATTTGAGCAAGAGAAATTCACTTGTTTTGTAGTGAAAGGCTGATCATTGGTGGAGAAAAGTAAAGTAAAATATTTTCATACTGAATTTTATGTCAACTTCAAGTACAGTAGAATCTCAGTAAACGGTTCTCCATCCCTGGTCATCCCTCTGTAAACAGAGCTCCTATTAAACAAAACACACTTTCCTGGTCCCTTCAGGTTCCGTTTGGGAGTCTACTGTACATTAAACAGACCGACAACCAATTTTTCTCAGCCCGATTTTTTATATTGCAGCACAAAGCTCTAGCTCAGTAATAATTAAACCTGCAGCGGTTAATTCTAAAAGTTCCTGGATATATTGTAAGCCTAATTTTTTTGTGTGTGTAAGATGCCACTAAAAGAGTCTCTCTTCCAGCAATGCTGAGAAGTGATAGTGCCGCTGATATATTCTTCTTGCAAACTGTCCATATGCTCAATGTTCTGCTTTCACAGGAGTGAGTGCATCTGTAGTTAGCCACCGTCATTTTGATATGTTCAACCATTCTTTAATGCATAGTGTAAGTAGAATAAGCTTTTCGAACGCTCGAAGCATGTGGAGATATTTTGCTGGCCTGGTGAGCCATGCACTTTTGCTCGTAGCCCCGCCACGGTGGTCTAGTGGCTAAGGTACTCGGCTGCTGACCCGCAGGTCGCGGGTTCGAATCCCGGCTGTGGCGGCTGCATTTCCGATGGAGGCGGAAATGTTGTAGGCCCGTGTGCTCAGATTTGGGTGCACGTTAAAACTTCCGGAGCCCTCCACTACGGCGTCTCTCGTAATCATATGGTGGTTTTGTGATGTTAAATCCCACATATCAATCAAATCAACTTTTGCTCGTCGGGTACTTCTGTTTATCCACGTGTGCTTCTAGGCCCTCCGCTAACACTTCTCAATCTGCTGCTCATGAGCATTGGATCATACACCAAATAAAGGCAGCATCCCTGTTCTCCTCAGTACAAACAAAGGCATATCTGCACATATTATGTTAGAAGAGACTATAATAAAAAAGTGCACTGCATTTGAACAATGTATAGAAATCATTAACTGCATACAGTAGTAAAAGGTAATGTGATGGGGATCATATGTATTTTCACTTATTTTCCACGTGGGGCACCAATGATAGTTTTTTGCAACTGTAATGATTAAAAATATAAATCGAAGTTTACTGAAAAAATAAACTTTTCTTTTAGCCATTACAATAAAATTTTTTTCATTAGTGGGGTTATTTCAATCCGTGTTTTCTGTCCCTTTAATGGGATCTAATTTGTAATACTTGGCATGTTTTAGCTGAAACAACATTCCCAAATTGTACAACGTTGAGTTTTTAGAATGCAATTTAACTCTGCTTTACCAATACGCAACCATGAGATCCATAATGTAGATGCTGTAAAAATCTGCGGCATCATGATAAGCTGGTGTGAAAACTACGGGGCATCATAAAGCATTTTATTTGGTGAGCTGGTTCATGACGTGAGAGGAAAATGGTGTAGTATGAAAGGAGTGAGGACGAGTAAGTAAAGCATGAGTCCTCTGTACTTTTGTTCATTTTTTTCGTGCTAATATTGCATTTCCGCTTTGAGACATCATTACCACACAAGTTATGTTTTTACATATTTTTTTTTTACTTACCAAGCAGCTCCTCAATGTTAACAACAGTCACTTTTTAATTTCAGAAGTATACCGTACTAGTAGTGCTCAACTTTATATCCCTTTGAAGTGCACGACAGTGCGTAAAACAAAGATGAAGACAGAACAAACAACACCAGCGCTGGTGTCGTTCGTTCTCTCTTCGTCCTTGTTTTACACCCTGTCGTGCACTTCGTACTATACTACATGAACTAGCCTAACGTCGTACTCTTTTGCAGCTCATGTTCCTCTTTGAAGTTTCAAATTACAGTGATTTGAGGCAGTGACAAGTTATGTCTGTAGGTAAGCTTAAATCGCAATAGCAGGCAGTATGGTATTGAAGATTGAGGGGCAGAAAGGGCAATTTTGGTGAATAAAACTGGAAGAGCTGAGCACTTCAGTGAGAAAGCTTAGGTGAGAACTTTAAAGAGACGTTTAACGGAAAGATGATTTCATTTATTATTTGTGACTCATCATTTCATAGTACCGAAAACAGCTACTCTTACCGTGAGAAGATATTTCATTAAGGAGAAAAAGTGCACAAAAGAAACAAACAGGTATTAAGCTTGAACAATTTCAGTCATGAAAAATTTTCAGTTACATGATGTTCAAATAAATATGGTAATCTGTTTGCATGGAAATGTGAACATCATATTTTTAAAACGTTTTTAATGAACTATTTTCAGTGGGTTATGTGAATTTGTGGTAAGAAAAAAAAAGTACTGCTTGATCCTAATATGATAGCTGAAGGTCAAGGCTGAAGCATTCCTGTACAAAATTATAGAAAACAAGACTTTGTTTGGGTTTACCCATATAAACTATATTAATGAGAAATTTGTGAAAACAGAATAAGCAACTGCTGTGGAGCAGTTAAAACGCATGGTTAAACAGTTAAACTTGCATTAAAAATGTTATGTTTTTTTTCTCTCTTTTTTTGCAGCTGAGCTCTTTTGTCAAATTGCTAAGGACCATATAGAGGCCATGTCACCATCAAGGAACAAACGTAAGATTTTTGCGTGGTGCGATGTTAACCGAAATCATGCCACATCTATTTCCATCTTTTCAAACTATTTGAATACTTTTGTTTCACATGCTGTGTGAAGTTCTTGCAAAGTTGTTTGCTCTTCCGCCGCGGTGGCTCGGTGGCTAAAGTGCTCGGCTACTGACTCGAAGATCACGGGTTCGATCCCAGCTGCAGCGGTCGCATTTTGTTGGAGGCGAAGTGGTAGAGGCCCGTGTACTGTGCAATGTTGGTGCACGCTATAGAACACCTGATGGCCAAAACTTCCAGAGTCCGCCACTGCGGCATCTCTCATGACCTTATTGTGGTTTTGGGACGTAAAACCCCACATATTATTATAGAATTAAATTTGTTTGGTCATGCCCACCACATGAAATCTTGCTGCCATTACAGTTAAGCAGACTGGGCCCATCTGTTGCTCCAGCTATCATCAGCCAGAGTTTAGAAAAATATCAACGCATTACATCACGACACAACCAAATTCATGTTGCTTGCTTTCTGTCGCATGGAGTAAGACACCCTAGTTTTAGTTCTTTATTAATTGGTTAATTAAGCATGTTTAATTAGCTCATTTGAGTTCATAATCGTAGAGAAAATTTTTATGGGCAAAAATTGTTCATCGGTGTACAAAATGTCCAACTGGCAATTTATAACTTGATATCTGTTAATTATTAATGCTTTTCTGCATACTACAGGTGCCTGTGAAATACAAAGTACAATTATTCGAACTTTCGAATATTTTTTCAAATAGTGTGTGCTATTCGATTAGATTCATACCAGAATTTTCCTATTTGAACTGTTCGAGCTTCCCGATAACAAATACAGTCAGCGTCAGATTGGCAATGGCGCAGTCAGATTTTTTTACATGCTTCACCACATCACACTTTCACATTGCGACGACCTGCCTTTCAGACTCTGCAATAGTCGCAAATGTAGTTGCTAGAGAAAGCGCTGGTTCCAACGTGGAGATGCATGGCACCATTACAGTGGCCCCTTTATATTTTTAATTTGCTTCACCGCATCACACTCTGCTATCGCAGAAAAGCTGTCTTCAGGGCTCTGCTATGGCCGTAAATAGATACTCACAAAAGTGATTGTTCGAACCGACACGGCAGAAGTGGGGGCTTTAATTAATGCCGTTTCGAACCAGACAGTCTGAAAGAATTGGACGAAGATTTTGAACATCTGACATCTCAGATGTTTTTATCCATTCACGTATACAGGGCATATTAGCTACATCAAATTTGAAGGGAGCGTGCTCTTGTCTGCCAAATCAATCGGGCCTAAAGAAGTTGAAGTTGGCCAAGGTGGAGCAAAAATTGTCTTTTTATTTGGCATGTAAAGTGTTGTCCACACTACCTTGGTTGCAACAAATCATGTAAATACTGAATAAAATTCGGTGCCTGCATCGCTTCATCCTTGATGAAACAACTAGGGAACTCCAGCCCTTGAGTACTTCACCATCATAGCCAAAATAAACTCTACTATGCTCCTGTCTCATAATAATGTGCTTAGGGATCCTCTGCAATCTTTTTTCTTTAATTTCACCTTGAGGTATTTGAAAAATACTAAAGAAATATTCAACAACTGTTCAAGAATTATTCGATTCAATTTTCACTCAGACTTGATTATTCTAATTCGATTTTCACCCAAAATTTTGCTATTTGCTCAGCTCTAAAAAGATACCATGTGACATGCCCGCTTGCACACTTTAGTGCGCTGTAATTGCAGTACTCCCCAACGTTCTGCATACAAGCAGTGTGCTTTTCTTGCAACTGTTCATGACAGCGATAAGGAGATGCAGGTTTATTGCTTGTATTGCCGCTAGCAAAATGCGTCATCACACAGCCACCCCCATCGTCCCTGTCCTGTCAAGGCAGCACACCTGGCCAAGATCCATAGTCGTTTGCATGCAGAACATTGGGAAGCCCTGCAATCATGGCACACAAAGGCACACAAGTGGGCTTGTCGCGTGGTATTTTTTTGTATTTTGTGGGCATTGGTACTAAGCAGAAAAGGACCAATACATAACAGATAGAAAGTTAGGAAAAATGTTTACTCAGACTTTTTGCAAGCTGATCTACTGCCTTTTTATGGGAATCATTTCCCCGCTTCATTGCTTCAAAAGTTAGTGAATAAAAATGCCTAATTAGCCAATAATAACAAAAACAAAAAATAGTGCGACTTACCATGCAATAACAGTCAACATGCATTGATCGTGTCTTCATAGGTTGCATCGGCATATTTTTTAACTCTGGTTAGAGATATCTGCAGCACCCTGCATATGCCAAGCACTGCTTTCTGTTCTTTTTTCTGTATGTTTATTAGGCTTTATTGAAATGACTTATATACAAAACAATACAGCGCACAAGAAGAGACACACAGAAAGATCAACGAACAAGCTTATCAAGGAAAAAATTGACAGCCACTTGTTTGTAGCACAAAGCTACAAGGAAATTCATGCCGATTTTTTTTTTTGAAAGAAACTTCTTAGTTGATGAAAAATTTGGCCTGGTTTGGAGGATCAAAACTTTGGAGTGGTTCCTCTACAAATTGAGGTAACCAGAAGGGTAGTAGCTGGCAATGCAAGGGCAAATTAATGGACACCTTGAAGCACATGAACATTAAATGTGGCAAAACAGGTCTGTGGAATCCTGCAAGGAGGAGGATGTGTTATGATAGTAAAAATTGGTAACGGGCATGGAGGAGGAAAATTGTGGGCCAGCTGACCCAAAGTTTTTCTGATCAGCTGTACGTTATATATTTTTTTTTTCATATTGCAATCTCTGACTTGTCTACGAAGTGAAAATAAATGCTATTATCTGCCAAGAATGTAAGGTGGCACTAGGACTTGATACACCAACTCAACAAAACTACCATAACTAGGTGTACATAATGCCCTGAACGGGGTAAAAGAAGCACAGAACTGCACAGTTATCTCTCTTTTGAAATAGTCTACATAGACCAAATCTAAATGCCAATATGAGCCCCGAGGCTACCGTAAATGGTCAGACAACTAACAGTCAAACCACTCCCCATTAACATGCTTTTAGGCAGACATGATAAAAGGCAGTCTGCAAGGACCAAGGCCCTTCATGAAAGATGCCAAAACGTGTTTTTTCGTGTATATAGTATGGGTCCCCGTCCACTCGAGGAATTTTGTGAAACAGGAGGAGCGGAGCATCTCTTGAACCCTGTGGCCCCTGATGAGACGGGGAACTCATGCAATGACATGACCGATTTGTAAGAAGACTCTAAGCGTGCCTGTGCACTGCTGGACGACAGTCTGACTAGGGCACAGGCTATGACCCTCACTATTTACAGACTCCTTCATTGGAATGGCACATGGAATGGCTTTTTCTTTTCTGACCATTGGAGAATTCTATACAAAGTGTGCAATTGTAGTTCAAGTCAGTTGGCTACCCAAGATTGCATCCTGTGGGGATGTGAGGGTTCCCTCCTGCCTCCCAAACAAATTGCTCCTGCCAGCTCCCTCAAAGCTGACCTGGAAAGAGTTTGTTTGAGCCCTCATACTAGAGGAGAAGCTAGGCATCCTTGCCTGGACTGTAGGCGTAGCTTCCAGATTGCAGTCACTTTGAGGCTCAGGCACCAAAATATTTTTGCCTGCAAGTAAAGTTGCCAACACCAAAACCAAAGCATATTATTCACATTTAGCTTGCTATGCTGCAAACAGTATCATTGTCAAACTATTTTTTGTGAGACCTCTATGCTGTTCTCAGATGAAAATAAGTTTGCACTCAAACCTCAATATAGACTGATATAACAAAATATTGGTTCTAAGAAAGTGATTGAAAAACAGTCTTGCAATAGATAGTGTTCGGAATACTCCTTATAATAAATTTTTGAATATAACGAGCTTATTTTATTGTAAGGTGCAACTTTGTTATAATGAGGTTTGAGTGTACAATGAAGTAATTAGTGGTCTTCATATAAAAAGCATGCAAATACGTGTATTAGTAAAACATTTGTTGTTATGAGGGATAAAGAGTTTACTTTCTTGAATGCCATGTGAAAGTTTGTTATTCTGTTTTCGCTTTTGTAATTTTTTACTTTTATTCAGTGCACGTCCATTAAAAATAGCAGGTGCTGATATATACAGTCTGTAAAAAAACGACAAAAAAAAAAAAAACGCTTGGGAGTCTGCAGCTGTCAACTTCAGTTGACTCCCATCTGCATCTTGAGCAAATAGGCCTATTTTGATGGAGAAACTCAATTGTGACTGAAAGTGCATCGTGTGACTACTATATTAGCTCCAGAAGATTGTCGCACTGGCATTTTGGCTCCAAATGACATCTTAATATGAATGAGTGTGGGAGTCGCGTCGATGGAAGGAAGAATCCCCACATGAAAACATAACGACTGTCTATTCACTTTGTAGCAGCAGCGGGTAAGCATACTGATGCTGCGCTCATCTGGATAGTGAAAGAAGGATCTTGCAATGTCGACGGCCGGTTATAGTAGCCACCGCCGGCGATCCATATCTCTGGTGATGCTGCGGTGGCACTGTAGTTAATTTTAAGGAAGGCGATGGAACGTGTAGCCATTTCATGCTGAGCTGAAAGGTAGCAAACAGAGGCTTGCACAAGAATATGCACAAAGTGTGTACAAGTGCAATTTGTTTCTTCATAAGGTTTTAACGTTCTTGTGCACCCTGGGTTTCAAAATTGCACTCTCATGCATATATGCCAGGATTTGTAGTTAGTAAATCAAGTTGTGGCGTAAAGATGTGTGGGACCCTCGTTTATTTTTTAATAGTTGAAAAAAATTACTGTCATAACACATGCAATTGCTGGCAACCAGGAAACTAGCAAATGCTCGCTATAAATATCAGTGTGGGTCCAATACTTTTTGTAGTTGAGGTCATCGATGTGGTTACAGCCTGAAGTGGTTGTGTTGTTAGCCTACTATGCTACAAGGGTCATTCAAGGATTAGTGGGATTACTAGTCATATACAAAATGAGATTAAACAGGGAGTGAAGTCAAATATTCAATCAATATATTACTCCTCTGTCATGTTTCCTGTCACAGGTCAATGTGTCAGATGCAAACACAGCAATTCCAGCTATCATGGCGACCATTCAGTAGTCAGAAGGTGCAGAAAGTGTAACCACACTTTTAATTAAAGTGAATGCTAACATTATTAGAACACCCTTCACCCCCCTTTTTTTTTTAATGGAAGGTGCAGTGTGAAGAACGGGTTGTCTTATGTGACAATAGGTGAAGTGTCAGCAAATGAATGGCAGGTTGTGACGGGGAATCAGTCATGTGGGTATTTGCTTAATAACAACAGTCTTATAATGGCTGTGAAGCCCACTCTAGTCTGCACAAATATGGTAGATACCAGAAAAATAGCTAAAATATATAAGTTTGGGAAGCAAGTGTTTTAAAATTTTGAAATGATACTTAATTAGCTTTGTAAATGCTTTACTTTTGACCTCATTTAAGAATAAAGGAGTTGTCGTTCTTAAATGACTTTAGCGCTCACTGGGTTAAAAAAATAGAGGAGTTACTGATATAAGTGTACTGATGTGATATCGAAGGAACGTCCCCTCCTTTCTGGACTTGTGCTCACACATGCACATTTTTTCATATGTGTACTCTTGGTATTCTTTAGCCACTGTCAATGCATAACATGTTAATATCACTTTTTATGTTTGTGTTGGTTGGATGCTAGATGCATACAGATTGCTTCACATATGAATGCCTTCTGTGACTATTTTGTGACAAGGTGGAGTAGGAATTCTGTTTTAAAAGATTGTTGTGCATATTGGTACTTTTTTTTTTCTTTTCCAGCAGGCACAAACTTTAGGCTTGAAGAACCAGCTTCTCAAGGTGGAGGCTGCTGCTGAACCCTGGTTTCCTGAAGGTCTATTAAGTGCTGCATAAAGTGGTCTTCATGAAATGACAAACATTGGCGCCTGCACTGTTCTAGTCTCAGTGGACATTGAAAAAGCCAAATGGGACCTTACTCACGCTCATGTGACTCTCTGGTGTGCCTTGGATGTTTAAGAAGTATCGGAAGAATTTCCGAAACAGTTTTTCGCGAGTGTTTTGTGAAGTAGTGTATCTGTTTTTTTTTATGCATAATTAACGTTGCATATAAATGTGCCTTGCCAACCAGCCAGTGAAATTCTTAAGCTGGTGTATAACTAAGGAGGTTAACTATAATGTTTGCATGTGGGAAAGTATGCGGTGTAGCGCATAAGGTGACCAAAATATGTAAGAGGCGCAATTATTTTATTTGCAGCGTACGTAGTGCCGTTTTTAACATTCTCTATAATTGATGTATGACATGTTCGTATGAAATGGCGCAATAAATTGCATATCATTTCGTCCGACTTATGCTCCTTGCTGTGCGTGCATGTGCTACCGAGATAACTCGCCGCAAGCAAGTGACGCAAGTACAGCGGAAAGCGCGCTTTGCCCCGTGTCGGCGAGCGAGGCGTGCGCTTTTGCCTTCGACGCACTGTGAGCTGCGAGGCGGGCTTCGTCGCCGCTTTGCATGTTTGCAGTGAGGTCATGTGTGATATTTAATTTCCAGCTTTAGCCCCGCTTCAATGACTTGGTTCAGTGTTAAAAAAAAAAAACAACAACGGTGAGTCGCGCGGCTGTTTAATGTTTACGGCGCGGTTTTGGCACGAGCCACCACAGCCCCAGAGCGTAGCGAACGCAGGCGCATAGTTGCCCAAACAGTCGTTGACGTCAGGAGCGGTGGGCGGGCTTGATTGTACGCTTCCGCTAGGAAGAGGACTCTCTGATCATGGACGAATTCGCTCTGGGCTGAACTGCGCTCAACATGGGAGCTTCTCTCCCGTAAACGCACCTTGTTTTCCTTTGTCGACACGGTCATAGCTGGAAAAGTGAACGAGAACAGTAATGGGCGAGCACATACCGGTGCTTCTAGTCACGGCCAACGTAGGATCCATCTTTGAAGAGGTAAGGAAGGCCTGCGTGCATTTTCCCAGCTTCCAGAGCTCGGTGAAAGAGCAGCAGGGAATGAAGACAGGCGTTTTTCACTGTAACTTTTTGTGACTTGCTGAAGCGCGGAATAACCTGTGCTTGCTGCTTCCGTAACCGAAATAAGTGCGTCGTAGTGCCGTAATATATTCCCGGGCAAGTTGCACGGATCCACGCAACCGATCGAACTGGTGCAGCTGCAAGTGTATGCATTAAACCAGCGGAGGCGCTGACTAAACGTATTAGTGGCTCTCTGGTGGACAAGGGAACGTTCTCTACTTTCGTTTAAATGAACGCTCGTTGAAAATGCGGACAATTAAGCTAGTCCTTGCACTGTTCGATGTCGGCGGGTCGCCTAATCTCCCGCAGAGCAGCACAAATAAATATATGCGACTCAGTCATGCTTGCATCGTCGCAGACCGTAGCACCCCGCCCCAGATTGCAAGATTAAAATACACTGTTCGATAGCATGCATTGTTATGGTCGTTAAAAGAAAAAAAAAAAGCCTGCGTACGTAATCGGTGACATTGCTCCTAAGCATTACACTGAATGTGAGTATGGTTTATCGAAACTGCCTTTCCGGGTTGCCGGCCAAACATTAAAGCGCTAAAGCGAACACACAACCAGATCATTTCTTGGAACTGTGCTCCCTCTGAAAGCTTTCCACGTCTATTCGCAGCCTCGAACACTTTTGCCGGGATGGATAGGAGAGTTCCTTCGGGTAGGTAATGTACTGTACAGTTATGGTGTAAAGTATCATTTGGGAATTCGAACAGTGACACTAACAAAATGATGTGCAGATGGTGAAGCAGTTTCAGCCCAGTTTCCTAGCCTTACATTGTCAAGAAGTAGGTGGGAAAAATTACGAAAGGACCATGCTTCACGTTTCCGACTTCATCAGGTGAGAAGTGCCCCAAAGTAAATGCATTGAAGCAATAAAAGTACTGTAAAATTTTGTTAAGTACCCATGCTCTAGCAATAGGTTTTCTACGTCTAACAACTAGTACCTTGCACAAAGGTTTAAATGATGCAGCTTTAGAAAATGTGATTTGCAGTAGCATATTATGCTCATGTGTAGAAATCAAACCCAACAGGTTATGACTTTTGTCAGTATTATTGTTGATGCCGTGAATAGAGCTATGAAGATAGAGGAGCAATTTTTCGAAGCTGATTTTATGCAATCTAATTATTTGCAAAATAAACTATATGCACAAATTATGCGTAGGATTGAACTATAGCTTTCGACACTTTTACGTTTGTTTATGATGCCTTTTTTATTACTTAAACAAGTGCAAACAGATGAAACACGCTCTCTTTCAGTGTGTATCCTTATCATGATATTACCTTTTCATACATTTGGAAGCAAGAACATACACAGTAGACTCATGTGGTATGACTGGCATTAAAAAAAATAATAATGAAAAGTTCACTTGGAAATGCATGAATGCAATACTGTTTCTGCACAAACTACAAAATTGCAGAGTATCCAACACTAGTGCATGCACCGATTCATGAAATCTCTTTTCGTTTACTAGTCTCAGCTGTATACATAGTCGTTTAAAGCAGCTTCATCTAGATTTAGATGCTGTGTATTAGCATACGTGGGTGAGCCTTAACATATACCATGGCTTTCATAATTTTTTTTTCTGCTGCCTCGACTCCAAGAGTACTCTTTTAGCTCAGTTATTCCTGTGCGTATTACCTGCTTTTGTGTGTTTTCTCTCGAAGTTTATAAGTATATGTAATTTGCTCAACACTAACACAAGCTCCATGTTCTTTACCCCCTAAACAAATCACTCCATATTTCATGCACTCTTGGAATTTGCTTTAAAGTTGGCATAGAAAGTGGAGGAAAAGTATATCGGCCAAATTTTATTGCTGGCCTTCATGCTGCGAACCAGTCATTTTCTTACTCAGCACAACCATGTTAGTTTTAAGGTTATGAATCTCTCTGCAGGAGTAGTGGCTCTATTTTATGTATAAGGCTTCATCGAGGTACTGCTTTTACAGCAAGAAATTTACTGATATTCTAAAACACTTCATGTTTGCAGCCTGTGATGAGAATGTTCTTGTGCACAGGACTCTCATGGGCAGCGAGGAGCTCTCAAGTTACACAGCAGTCCAAGTATTCTTGGACGAGGACTTCTCTTGTGTAGAAAAATTTACGGTGAGTTTCTTGCTGGAACGTTGTGCACGTCGAGCAGGATTTTTTGTAACAGGCATGTCAATGTTGAACTTAATCTGGGGTTGAATTTTTCACTGCCCTGCAAATAGTCTGCAATGTGTGCCTGATGCTTGCTAGCTCTACGTGTACAGTTCAAAGAAAATCTGCCTTTTTGGTATGTGAACATTACACAACGTTTAGCTATTACATAGTGCAGCAACTCAGTTCAAAATTAGCAAGTTTATTAAAATCTTTCTGTTGTTGAGAACTCATTGTAAAGGTTTTAGAAAAAGGCCACATTTAATCGGTCATTGGATATAAAGATGCCAATTTAGCTGTGTTGGTGCCCATTTTGTGTACCCTACAAGATGGTCTTCAACCTAAGAAAGGATGTATTAAGCAGTGCTGCTTGAAGAAAAAAAAAAAATTGGAATTTAAGAAAAATGAGCCATCAGTTTGGATAAGTCATACGCCAAATAAATCCCAAGTACTGAGTCAAAGTAACAAGAATTTGTAATACATACGTGACTGATAATCCAAGTTCGATCAAAGAAAATATAATAAATTATGCATAAGCTCTGGGTAGCTCTAGGGTGGCATTGTTTCTCAAATTGCGAAGTTTATTTTGCGACAAATTCTTTGTGCACATGTTATGTAGGAGTTGCGCATTGCACTTGTTTTGGTACTAGTGTTCCTGATACACTGTAGTCCGTTTGTTTTACCGTTACGGTTCTGCGTAATTTTTTTGCAGTTAGCTTATACTGTCTATGGAGGATTTGTTACTGACGGGTTCTGCGTAATTTTTTTGCAGTTCGCTTATACTGTCTATGGAGGATTTGTTACTGACTTGAAATGGGGGTCATGAGTTATTGGTGTTGTTACTTTTCCCTCACAAAAAATTTTGTTCAATTGCATAATCTATCTGTATTGAGCAAAAAAAAAAACACGAGGTCCCGACCTTGTAGAATCCAATATTCCTTACAGTGTTCAATCAATAAATAGAACCGATATATTATGATAACTCATCCATCTCGTAATGAGTCTCATTGTTTTTGTATAGGCTCTGGGCAACTTGTACTTTGTCCATCAGTCTTTGAAGAACCCCCAGATCTGGGACTTTCAAGGTGAGCCACTTTCTGCACAAAATTATTATTTTCTTTGCAATCGGTTCTGTATTAAATTTGTATTTCTTGCTCTTTCCGAGTCAGAGTGCTGCTTTCGACCAGTAACGACGAAGGAGGTTCATTCTGGAAACATTGAGAAGGTGTTCACCAAAGAAAAGGTCAAGTTTCCCCAGGAACTTTTTCCAGAGGTAAGTCTTTCATATATCAGCTTTAGTGGCATCAGCCTGAATTTCTATTATTGGTAATCAGTTTTCTTTATGATGTATTATGCGAGTGTCCCACAGGCTCTTCTGATTGCAATCAGGGTAAATTTGGATCGGATTTCTTCATCGCAATCAAACAGTTCTCACTGATAAACAGTCCAAACTAATCCAGATTGAGTTTGGCGCAGACAGCAGTCAAATCATGACCTGGGAGCCAGATCTCAATGCGCAGATCGCGATCGGGGATTAGAAGAGACTGTGTAGTAGCACCTGATCTGGATCGGCCCGGGACGCGAGCAAAAGTGCCCTTGTGACACTGGTATTACACTGTAATTTTTATTTTGTTGACTAATTTGTTTGTGTCGTAGCTTAATAGTGCAGCCTTGAATATGATAATGCCTTTTAATGTGGCTAAAGTGGACCAATTCTGTAATGGTGTTGTTTTTTTGTTATGATACTTTCATAGAAATTGCTTATTTTACCATAGATAAATCTTAGTAAGATATGACTAAAGATGTCCACTTAGGGAAAGAATATTTGAATAGTGAACAGTCCCTTAATTTTCTCTGAAGGTTGCAGAATTTTTCTTTTTTTGCTTGTTGCAGTGCAAGTGGTCAAGAAAAGGCTTTATGCGAACAAGATGGAGTTTGCAAGGCACAGTATTTGACCTAATCAATATTCATCTTTTCCATGATGAATCAAACTTCATAGCCATGGAATCTGTGAGTTTAGAGCATATATATATCTTGCTGATTGAAGCTATACTTCAAATTTAAAACATTTTTGCTGTGCATCCATTTTTTTATTAAAAAATGTTTTTTTTTTCAGTTTCCTTCTTCTTACACAAAAAATAGGCAAGGAGCGCTTGACTACACTCTGAACAGGTACAG